ATGTTAATCTGTTTTTTTTTTTTGTCTTTCAAAATCTGTAGTGCACACTGAAGGTATTTACACATTTTGATGTATATTAACCCTGGTGAAGCCGCAAAGGCGAAACGTTGGATAATATATATATATATTTATCTGGAGTATAAAGATCGTTTTTTTATAAACTAACTGATTTTTACCAATAATTATTCTATGAATATGCCACGAATTCATTTCATGAATGATCTTAATTTTGATTGGCTCACAAAGGAATTTATCGACATTTGACTGCACTTTTCTGCCACTTTCTTGATTTAACTTGACTTCGCAAAATGTGAGGTTAGGGTATGTTAGGGGGTGTGGTGGTATTACTTGCCCCGTCATTTTTGCAAAAACATAAATACTTAGATCCACATCAAGGTTTACTGAACTATTATACATTAAAAGTCTTGTATTTAACAGTAATTGTTTGTAATTATTACACAGTAAGAGTCTTGTGTTTAACAATAATTGTTTGTAATTATTACACAGTAAAAGTCTTGTATTTAACAGTATTGTTTGTAATTATTAAACAGTAAAATACTTGTATTTAACAATAATTGTAATTATTACACAGTGAAAGTCTTGTATTTGACAATAATTGTTTGTAATTATTACACATTAAAAGTCTTGTATTCAACAGTGATTGTTTGTAATTGTTAAACAGTAAAAGTCTTGTATTCAACAGTGATTGTTTGTAATTGTTAAACAGTAAAAGTATTGTATTCAACAGTGATTGTTTGTAATTGTTAAACAGTAAAAGTATTGTATTTAACAGTAATTGTTTGTTGAGTTTTGCGCAAACCTAATCAAGGCCACCCACCGCCTACTCTTGAGTTACACAGTGGGATTGAAAGTCACATCATAACACATATTCGGTGACAGGATTTGATCTCACGACCCGCATAATTTAACAGTGAGAATCTCTCATTACGACGATGATAACCAATATATCCAATATGACTGACTGACTTCTCAGTAAAGTAATTTAAACAGAGTAACATGTATATCTTGAATGTACGTACTCGACTGTAGCCACAGTGACCACAGAGAGAGTATATACACATGAGTGTAACAACGATGACCAGGGAAGTATATGGAGAGGGTATATATATACATGACTGTGGCCACAGTGTCCAGGAGGTGTATAGGAAGAGTGAACAAACTCGACTGTGATGGGGAACAAAGGGGTTACTCTCCAACACGTATACAATATACAAATACACACAAAGTAAGTGATGTACGAAAAAACCAGTCTGATTGGGGTTCACCTATAGACCCGCCCTTATACATTCCAAAAGTCTAACGCCTTCTACTTAATAATTCACAGGTACATCCATGCAATACGAATGGCACCACACCCACATTTGTTTACAGTATAAAAGAATGTGTGTGTGTGGGGGGGGAGTCTAATTAACTATGGGAACGTGTGTTATGGGTCAAAACCTTTTGGCAATGATAAATGAACAAATATAAACTAGATATATATCTTTCTGTACATTTTAATACGAGAAGGTATGTATACGGGTACTTCGAATCACCGAAAGCTGTGTAAGCTCCTTTTAAATGTATATTCACGTGCAATCTCGCCCAAGTGTACGTGACGTGGGTGCCTGTACAGTACAAGATGAACACTGGAACTTGGCGCTTTGACAACATCAACATTAAAACTTGAAATTAACAAAACTACTGTTAGATACGGATTAATTTCTTATTAGTGAAGATATTCTAATGGTTAGTACTCCTGTACATACACAAATTATTTATCTGTTCACAAAAAACTATACACAATCTTAAAGTAAACTGGATCAAACGATCTAACCGTAAATATACCATTTTATCACAATATTTACAGACGAACCTGAAACGGTGGTTAAAAGTCATTATGTAAAAGGTCATTTTTATGGTAATGGTTTTAAGCTTTTCAAAACAGGAAATCTTCAGGGTTTTACTTGAAAAGAATAAAATTGTCAGTACTTCTAGGAAGGGATTTCCCCAAGATTTCTGTTTCCAGTAAAGGAACTGTGGATGTGAAATTCAGCTGCAGTTAGTCGAACTGGTCAGTCAACAGCTGCAGTTAGTCGAACTGGTCAGTCAACAGCTCCAGTTAGTCGAACTAGTCAGTCAACAACTCCAGTTAGTCGAACTGGTCAGTCAACAGCTCCAATCAGTCGAACTGGTCAGTCAACAGCTGCAGTTAGTCGAACTGGTCAGTCAACAGCTCCAATCAGTCGAACTGGTCAGTCAACAACTCCAATCAGTCGAACTGGTCAGTCAACAGCTCCAATCAGTCGAACTGGTCAGTCAACGTGCCTCTCTAATGACTATAGGAATGTAAGTTTACAAAAAAGGAGAAGGTATTTTGTTTACTGTCCCCAGGACAGGTTTACTTGGATTATTATTGCAATACATCAACCATAAAAACCATCTTCATTCAAAACATGCTGCTGAATACAATGAGATTGAACCTACTACAAAAGGTTTGTACATGATTATGATTGTTCTTTGAAATAGGTTTGTTTACTCAATATGTACTAATGGCCTCAAAGTAACATGTATACAGCAAGTTATCGAAGGTAAAAACAAGAATGTTTGAAACCTCTCGTTTCTATAGTAAAGTTCATTCGATACGTTATGTTCAATGAAACTTTCATTTTATTCTTCGTTTATAAAGGTCTTCTTGGAGCTTCAGGACACCTGCAGCAAACCTTTCTGGCAACGTATGCTAGATCTAACTTGTCGCTGTCCAGATATCACTACATACATATATCATCAATAAGTTGGTACAAATATGTGCGATAGACAAGAAAAGCTTGTGATGAAAGATACGACCCGCCATTCCTCAGGACACTGGCGAAGTGCCTCGGCCATAGTAACCAGGGATACATCACTGTTACGAGAAAACCAAACACGGTAGAACATAGCAAATATAATCGGTCTATAGCAGAATCTGTTCAATTCAAACAGATGCCAGGGGCCAGCATCATAATGATTCAAATATGGAAGTAGCCATGCGAGATCTTGGAGGTGTGCCACACACAGGATGTTTCGGGCATACACTAAAGATTGCCATCAAAGAAGGAATGGCTCGTGATGCCATCAAGAAATATATAAGTGCATACAGAAACCTTATTACAAGCTTCCACCACTCGCCTATGGCCGCAGAGGAGCTGCAGAAGCAACAACAGAAAAGAGGGTAGAGGGAAATCCTGAGTCTAAAGCAGTTCAAACAAGACGTTGCTATTCGTTGCATCAGTGCTTACTTCGTGACAAGCTGTAACTGCAAGAAAACTGGAGGTTTCAGAACATGTATGAACAACTGCTGTAGATCTCTGCGGTGTCTTGAAACCATTCGATGTTACTAGTGCAGAGATAAATGCAGAACTCTACCCTACTATTAGTAGTATCTACCCAATGGTCAGTGGTACTATCACCAAGAACCTTCAGCTGCAAGCAGAAGATTCGGAGCCACTGGAACAATTCAAGGGAAAATGTTCAGCTTTACTGAGAAGACAACTGAGTGTGGGAGCAGTGGAGGAGCATGATGAGATATTGGAATCAGTGCTTCACTCACTCTTAAAAAATACTGAAGGTTCTTGAGCTGGATGATGCCTCAACAATCTCAAAGAAACTCCATTCTGTTGTAGAGAGTATGAGAAAGCTAATCAGAAAACCAGGGACTGTCAAAGAAGAGGCTCCAAGGGATCCCCAGTGTTGCAAGATCAGCACTCTGAAGCTGCAATGAAATATTTGATGGGTGAATGCTACGAAATATCTGACAATGATGACAGCACTTCAGAAGTGTTTCGCTGCATAGCAGAACCAGAGTCCAAGGACAACACCTTCTACTGGCGGAAACGCAACCATCACAGGTTTCTAAACATTGCAATCCTCGCACAGAAGATGTTATGATGACCATCAACCTCGTACCATCCGAGAGACTTTTTCGGCCGCAGGACACAATAGATGTACTCTTGTCCTTAAGCCAAAACATGGCGCTCTGCTGACCTTGTGAAAGATGAAAACTTGGCTCAGGTTAAGCGTGAAACTAAGGCTATGGACACTGGTGAACCCCAAGCTTCAAGTTCTATGGCTGCAGGATCTGCACGGCCCAAACTCAGCAAAGTGCCCGAAATGTAGGGCTTATACCTCTTTTTATAGTGTATAGATTAAAAGTTTCTTCACTACCAGTTGTGTGTGTATCTATTTACATATAAAGTAATTTATTGGTTAAACTTATAGCTGGAATTTTGGGAAATGAAATCAGTAAGAACATTTAGTCGTCAACTGTTCAAACTAATGGTTTTCATCATTATTTGTTTTTAAATCAGTCCCAGTTGCACTATTTTACACTGTAGCCTTAACCGCAAACATCACTTAAGACTTCACAAAGTTTTTACATACACCACAAAAATCTAAAATTTTCGATATGTCGTTTAAAACTTAATAAAACTAATTAACAAATCCTATCGATCATTATATTTGTAATCTATAGTCGGCCAGTACAATCGCGAAGACTGCAATGCGGTTGTTGGAGTCATAGCGCTATGTGTACGACAGCGGGTGTAATATAAAAACCAAAACAATAATTTCTGTTAAAGATACTTAAAATAAACATTTAGTTAAACCCATCACTCGATTCAGGCCTAGTCCGTGAGACAAAGATATAGTTTTATCGGTTGCGGGGTGTTCCGTCCCCCGTTAGTAACCGTGGTCGTCATATTTATTTTTAGTACCTTAAACAGCTTGTCCACTGAATAATTTAAAATATAAATACTGTAGTAGTATAAATGCTACATATTATTAAATTCATATATAAATATAAGTTTACTACACCGTAATGAGTGAAAGACAACTAAGCTTCAGTAAACTAAAAATAAAAAGACCATACATATAGTAATACAAATAGTTTCTGTTTACATTCAGCAAGCATAAGAACAACAATAAATATAAAATACTAAATAAATTAAAACCTGTAAACTCACCTTGCCAGAAGTGTTATTTCACAGTTACGTTTTATCCAGATTTTGGTTCAATATTTCTGTGCAATTCAAATTCGTCTTAGTTGAATGTTAGGCGAGAACTTGTGTTTACGTTTTCACAATTATTGAGCTCCTCAGAAGTACACAGTCTCATTGCTGTGACAGAAAAGTCAAAATAAGCATAAAAATGGCAACAACTTATTACATTTCCTAGATTACAATTCAAATATAAACAAGTAAAAATATGGTGTCTATCAAAAGCTAAAATTATTTCCGCAAACAGAAACTTTCATAATTTACTAAGCCACGCGAAGGGTTAGGCCTAGTTACGATTGTTTCCGTAAACAGCAACTTTCATAACTTACTAAGACACGCGAAGGGTCAGGCCTAGCTAAACATGTTTCCGTAAACAGCAACTTCCATGACGGTCAGGCCTAGGAAGAACCAGGAGGTTTTGTAGTAATAATGACGTTTAAGTTTGTGATCCTACTCGTACAAAAGGATGATGGAACAACAACACCACAAGTTAAACACACACTGTTAAATGTCGTATAGCACAAGAAACATTAATATAAAACAAAGATACATGTATTGCTAACTTCAACCTCTATGCACCGGTAGCTAGATTTGCTCTTTTCTTGGTCAGGCTACGAGTATAACGTATTTTATCTGACCAATCGGAAGACGAGGTGGGCCAGTCTCGGAGAGAGTCGAAGCGTGACTGGGAGAGTCAGTGAATTGTGACGCCAGCGGCAAGGTAGCTTCTACTTTTGGAGCTTATATTATGAGAGAGTGTTTTTGCATGATGAGCGTTTATACTTTGTTTTGCCTTTTCTGAGTAGAAAATAAAATAAGAAATGTTGTTTTAAACGTTTATAACTATAATTTTCAACTATAATCCTACTCAGTATTTCTTGGAGAGTTGGTGGAAATAAAACGACAAATCACATTGTTTTGTTGTATTGAACAGTTTTGTACTAAAACTTCAAGTATAAAAAAATTTTCTTTCGGAAAACAACATCTTTGTACTATATTCGCTTGAACTGTCAGAATGTCTTGTAAACAACAAACATTTTACAAAAGTTATTGTTCGGTAGATATAATATTAATATTTAATATAATTTAACCAACATGGAACATTATTGATGTAAGCTATTTTTAATATTGTTTTGTTTGTTGTTAAGCTACAGAATGGGCTATTTATGCTGTCCTAACCACAGGCATCGAAACTCGATTTTTAGCGTCATAAGTCCAAATACTTACAATGGCTCAGCGGTAAGTCTGAAGACTTATACTGCTAAAAACTGGGCTTCGATATCTGTGATGGGCACAGCATAGAAAGCCATTGTGAAGATTTGTGCCCAATAACAAACAAACAAAACATACCGCTAGCTATTAGGGGGCTTTAAATATTGTGATTTGTCTGTTAACTAGACGGAACAACGGGTTGTTGATGATGTAATGATGACGGTAAGCCGCCTAAAAAGCTCTAAGATTTGACTTCAATTTTAGTTCTAGTATATTCAAAGCTAGACTATAAATACGAGTAAGCTGTGAAGATTGTACTGTGTTTTTTGTTTGTTTTTTTAGATAATGTGTGAAGCAGTTAGGTGTTTGTCTTCGTTGCAACCGTGAAGTTGTACAAGTAAGCTCATCCATAAATTATTTCAGTCCTAGTATTGTACAAAGATGTTTGAACGTTATTTGAATATTTGTAATGTAGGCCTACGACAACTTAAAACAATATATAAGTGTTTACGCTTGTAGAGACACTGAAGGAGGAAATAAATTAATCTATGATTATTAAGTATGCTGAGTGTTGAATTATTTTCAACAGACAATTTAAAAGAACCAGCCATCGAAAGAATATGCCACTACAGAATCAAATCATTGAAAATACAGCAAGGCACAGGCCTTAAGTTTGTTGTGATAAAAAAGAACTGTTTCGTTCATACTACCATGTTAAAATGCCCGGTTGCCCAGTAGTAAGCTTGTCGGCTTACAACTCTCAAATTCGGGGCTCGATCTCTGTGATGGGAACAGCACAGAGAGCTTCTTGTGCAGCTTTGCGCTTAACAACAAGTAAACAATGTTCGGAATACACAACTTAAGTTTCGATTAATCGTCAGCATATAACTTGTAGTAATTAGCATTTACTTTACTTCTTGTTCAAAGAGGTATCTTATGTTTATTAAAATTAATTCTAATACATATATAAAAGTCTTTTTTTGCTCAATTTTCTATTAAAACATCAGTTTCTCAACCAGATTTCTTCCTTGAGGGAACTGATTTATTTTACAGGGCATTTACGAAGCCTAACATTTGTGATAGAAATTAGTCAAACTACAGATTTCCCTCTCCCCTTTTCTCTTAATTTGTTCATTCTGGATTTAAAATCATAGGCATGTAAAACAGCCTTTCAGATCCTATTTTTGTTTCCCACAAGTCACTGCTTTGTTTTCTGCCTTCGAAGAAGAAATTGTCTCAAAGTGGAACATCTATTTTTCACGAATACCTTTAAAACAGTTATGCAAATGTTAATATTGTTGTAAGCTATATTATTAATGTATTGATTTAGATGTTTTTTATATTATTGTTACGACAGCAGAAATCACGCGATGCTGAGAGCATGCGCGCTGGAGTTTCTAGAAGGATCATGAATTATCGAGGAAATCCTCGAATGTCCTAGTGTTTGCCAGGCGCCCTCTTTTTTTAGTATATAAGCCTGGCGAGAAAAACAAGCGCAAGGTCAGAGATAGATAGATATGCAGATAGACTGAAGATATAGATAATTGAGTCAAGCGAACAGTAGGCACCGTAAGTAAAGTGTGTGAACCACTGTGATTTATGGCGTGTGTTATAAAGGTTGTTAAGTTTAAAGTGACTGTGGAAATTCTGTGTATTACAAAGTTGTATCGAGAAAGAATAAACTAATTTTAATTAAAAAAGGACTTGTATTGCTGAAGTTCCTCGGAAATTAAGGATATTATCAAACGAGCAGATACATAACATTATTTTTGCTAAATAATGGCGATGAGATACAATACCTAGAATGGTCATGAATATAAAGGATCGAGAAGCTTTGTGAAATATTTGAAACAAGAGTAAATTATAAATTCAAGTACTGAACAATAAAAAGTAATGAGTGTTTCAGTTCGGAGTTAGAGAGCGAGTGTCAGGTTTTACATATGAGTGGGCAGAGGATTCTTCTACAGGAGGTGTCTGTGATTTGTTGGCGATAAATGTGAATAATAAATGGACAGCACACAATCCACTTGTTTTAAAATAATATATTTAAGAATGTATGTACAAAAATTCTTTACATTATAGGATATCACAGTTCTATCTAAAACTCTAAATAATTCTCTTTCCTTGCCAAAAGTCCACATAGGCTGATTCAATTGACTTAG